ATGGCTTTAAATTATCTTTCCCAGATACTGCATGCTTAACACACAATGCTAAACTCAGGCTCTTTGTTTTAATAAAATGATAATAAAATACTGGAAGCAAGCATATATACATTATACCTAGTGATTTATATAAAAAAATTAGGAGATTATTGAAAAGTTGCTTCAGTATTATATGTCTTAAATTCATATCATTGTAGTTCAAATTTTTCTTATCATTTCTAAGTTTATCCACATTGACTCTGGCAAAGTATACTAAATGTATTCATAGATTTGTTCTTAACCTGTTCTTTTAGGAACTTGATATGTATTGATCACAATTCAATAGAAGATAACTAGGTAAGCTATAGTTAATAAAGGTAGAAACAATACAAAAATAATTCATGAAGTTCAAAAATGAATGATTCCCTACTACCACCCCCGAACACTTCAGTTTTGTTTGAAGAATAGTTAGCACATTTACAGATGAAGTCTTTCCCTAATATACTTTATTTAGAATAACAATTTCAGGGCTCTTTGATTATTTAGTAAAGCAGTAATCCCTATATTTTGGTTACTAAAAATTTGTCATATATAGATTCACAGCCAAATAGTCATTCAAGAATTATAGCTAGAGATAGATTAGCATAATTTGTTAATTATAATTTGAAACAGTTGATGCACATCTGGTTGAAATTATCAGATTCTCATTATAATTTAGTTATAGCTGATTAAAATTGCAAAGGACAACCTTCTGTTCAGGAAGTCATACATCAAACAAGTCAAATAATAGTAAAAGATAGATAAATCCACATTTAGAAGTTTCTTGAAGAAAGATAGCAAATTATGAAAGATTCCCATTCAATGGAAATTTCCATTAGCAATGAAAGCAGGGCATATGTTTTGTGTGTGTGGTTTTTTTTTTTTTTTAATTTACTGCTAAATCACTGTTATCTACATGGAGTGAATTAATACTTTTAGAATCAATGAATAAATACCAGGCCATTAAGTAAAGCCTATGTGAACAGCTCTGTAGTTCTTTTTTTTGTTTGTTTATTTTGTTGTGTTTTTGCAATACCAGGGATTGAAAGCACCTTGTGCTTGCCAGGCAAGCACTGATTCTACTGAGCCATCTCCCTGGCCCCAAGGCATGACATTCTCAAGCAGTGTCTCCTTCACTCTCTGTCTTCCTGTCTATATTTCCTTTCAACAGAACTTTTTATCTTCCCTCTCATCCTTGAATTTCCTTCCCCCTTGAGTATCATGTGAGCTACTTCACAGTTGCTCAGGCTTTCAATTTCTGACTATGTAATTTCTAATTATTTGATTCTTGTATTTGAAGTTTGGCACATCAGACTTTATGTGGCAAAATCCTCTTGCCAGTCCTGTCAGAAGACAGACTGGTCTATTTCATAGTCTCTGCTCTTTGATTATAAAGAAAGATCATGTAATTTTAAACACCAGCTCATGTATGATAACAAAGACACTAATTCTGCTGTTGGTGCAAAACACTTGGCTGACCTGTTTTCAGCATCTTCAGGAACTGCCTTTCCTAGTTGTGACCTCTACAGTACATTTCAGTGAGTAATCAACTGTTCCTGCCTTGATCTGGATTCACTGCAACACCTGCAGATGTCGAGACAACTTTCCCCTTGGGCAATCATTTGTGTGCTGGCCCCTTTCCCTAGAGCGCCGGACTGTGTAAGATTCTTCCCTTAAAATTCCTCTGTCCTGTCTTGTTCCTTGTGCTCCAGCACAATAGCAAAATGATTGAAAAATAGGCTTTAGGCAATTTAGTATCCTAAATTGTATTTTCTATCATAAGAGGACTTTCTATAAAGTTAAAATATACTTTAAAAGTCATTGATAGTGTTATAATATGCTTTATGGATTCTAAGTGGTATCTCTTTTATAGGTGACAAAATTGCAAGTGAATTACAAATGTAAATTTTATGACTAATTAAATTGATCAAAATTGGGCTCTGGAGATAGCTCAGTAGAATAAGTGCTTGCCTGGCAAGTGCAAGGGCCTGAGTCTAATCCCCAGTTCCGCAAAACAAAAAAAACAAAACAACAACAACAAAAAAGAACCAAAATCCATTAAAAACAGGTTAAATACCTTAAATTAAATGCAAGCAAAAATAAATTTGCCACATGATAGAACTATCAAAATAAATGAATAAATAAAATGCATCAATCTCAAATAACTTACTTACATAAAAATTGATATCAACGTAACGTAAAACATTTTCTTGGATTTTGTCACAGAAAAATCTGTCCATACCCAATTTTGTAATCATACAGACTAAGGGTGTCCAGCCCAGGAGCAGGGCCAGATGCAGCCCTGGACAGCTAGTAACATGGCTTCCCAGGGTCATGGACTTTGAGCCTGACTATGTGATTTCTAGTGACATTTCTCATGACTCCACGCCTGGTGCTCAAGCACAGACTGGGGACAACTGAGCTCTGTGTCTGAAAGACAGGTCACTTGCAGCGTGGCCCCTCCTCTGCACCTACTTCACTTCATGGTAAGACAACGCTTCCAGTATCAGATCTTCCTGGCTGTGGAACCGGGACTGAGACCCAGGGATCCCTGACTGCAGTGCTCACCCTGTGCACACCGGGCACTGCTGCTGGGCAGATATGGAAGTCTTATTTAATTATTAAACTTGGGCCTGTGGTGTCATTTGTAAATAATTTAATAAATAAAATTAAAAAGGAAGATTGTCTCCTTATGCACACTGACTATATTTTATGTGCAGCCCAAGATAATTCCTCTTCACTCAGTGGCCCAGGCAAGCCAAAAGATTGAACATCCATGATTATAGAGATGCCTTTCTTACTTCATTCTACTCCAAGAACATTTCTGAAAATATCTCCCAAGCATGAGAAACTGCAAGAAGTTCAGTTCTAGTTACCAGAAGGTATACACAGAGCCCCTGCAATTCACAGAGGTTAGCTTCCTAGAGCACTGGCAAATGGTGAAAAACTTTGAATTTCAGATATGGTCAGAAAAATACCTGTGTGCCTCATTGTATAGTTTAAACCTTAAATATGCTATGTCTCCCACACTTATGTAATTTAATTTAATAAAGTACTGTGTTAATAAAGCCTTAGAAAGTGCAGGGTGTTTTGGTAGCATCTTGGGGATCTTAGGGCTTTAAGAACAACAAGCTGGAAAACACTGGAGTTAGCTACAAGCCACACAGAAACCTGTTATGGCGCAGGAATGCTGGTGCATCTGTTTCCAGTGGGTTACAGCACCAAGTAACTGAGTAATGCTCTCGGATTGGGAGCTTTCAAGCCCTCCAACAGGAAAGCAACTGCAGCCGTGCTGGTCCCACCCAGGGGCGTGCTAAGACAGCAACTGAGACTGCTCATGGTGGAGCATGCCTGTAATCCCAGTGCTTGGGAGGCTGGAAACAGGATCACTATGAGTTCCATCTAAGTAGTGAGACCCTGGACATCCTGTAGAGCCTGTCCTAGAAAAGAAAAGAAAACCAATTGCAGAGGAAGCTTGTGGTTTCCCTGAAATTGCTTAGGTTTCCTTGAACTGTTATTAGGTTCTAAGAGAAAAATCCATGAACAACTGAAGCATAGAACTTTTGCAGCAATTTATATATGTGTATCATTATACATATATTTGAATATACGTTATATACACTGTATATAAAATATATAATAATATATAAAATATATATTACTAAATAAATATAGTATGTATGGTATCTAGTATATTACTATATTATATATTTGAGTTTATAAATGTATATCTGAGCTTATAATTCATATTATAAGTCACGTATATGTTCATTATATATATGAATTATAAATTCAAAAGTATTTAATTGTAGGGAAAAATCAAATCAAATCGGTGAAAATTACTTCGAAACAAACTCAAGTATCAGCACTCTGGAGTAACTGCTTATCTGAGCAGATCTTAAGGCAGAGTCCAGCAGGTGAGGAGCACTCAGTTTCCACCTCATTGCACCCAGTGCTGCGTTTCAAGGTCTGAAACACCTCGACATTGGATTCCTTAGTGCAAAAGGAGCTTGCGGCACAGCCTGTCAGTAGCTTCCAGTTCTACCTGGCCCTCATGTCATCTCTCAGCTCGCTCGTGCTTCTCTAGTGAAGAATGAGGAAGTGAGAATTACGCAAGCTTGCATTTAGCGTGTCTGACCTGGGCAAGGACAGGATGAAGCAGAGGAAAAGATGCTGGCACAGAGCACCCCAGTACTCTGGGGTGCACAGAAAGGTCGAAGGCAGCAGCATTTCAGATAGAATAAGAGGAACGAATTCAAGCGAGAGCATGGGAAAGCGCTAAGTGAAAGAAAAGGAGCAAAGTTAGCACAGGTACTTGAAGAATTCAAGGAGCCTCTGACATCTTGAGGAGAAGGCAGCATGGCTGAGAATAACACTAAAGCCTCAAAATAAACTTGTCATCAGAAGCTGGATGGAACACACGTGGGCGCCTGAAGACCCCACGTGGCACCTGTGAAAGATGACTAAGAAAGCAAATAGAGGCGAAGTGATTCATTTCCCATTATGTTTTCCACCATCAAGTCTGCATCAGGAGACGCTGACAGTTTGCCACTCTGGAAGCAACGTAAGTGCTACTAACTTAACGAAAACAAGTGGCAGTAAGTCATGGGTGTTTCGAGTAGGGCTGGGAAGTAGCGCCAATGGTGCAGCGCCTGCCAACACGCGCAAGGCCTTGGTTTTGGTCCTTGGCACTGTGGAGGAGAGAGAGGAGGAATGCGGGAGAGAAAAAGGAAAAGAAGAAAGGAAAGAAGATGTAGACGAAATAAACAGATTTTACTAACTCATCCTATTTAACAGGAAGTTCTGAAGAAAAGACTGCATTTAAAATACAGGTTGTGGAAGACAACTTCTTGAGGGTAACATAACTGTCTTAAGACTGAAAGATTTTGTAAAAATCTTTTGGGTGTTCTTTCTAGTTCTCTTCAGTTTTCGCCACGCGCTGTGGTGTTGCATAGTAAGAGAGTACAACGGGCTGTGCTTACCGCCTCTACCTCGGCAGGGTCGTACCAGACGTTGATGTACGGGTGCTGCAAGGCGTCGTCCACGGATATCCTCTTGGCTGGGTCAATCACTAGCATCTTTGACAACAAGTCCCTGGCTTGGCTGGCTGAAACAGTTAATGAGAAAAATAATTAGTAAGATTTTTTTTTTATTTAAGCAAGGGACTTTGTTGGCTGGAGAGGAAACTAAGAAAACAACTAGCTAGTGCAAAAAATTCTTAATGCGTGGCATCTCTTTCTGTCATAAAGGCTCCAAGTATCATTTGGGACCCGCTGGGGTTTCCGAGGCTCTCCAGTGTGGCAGTGCAGTTCTCCCCCGCACCTATCAACCCAGAGGTTATCTGGGCAGGGTGATCCGATGGGCTCATCTGCAGAAGCACAGGCGGGCGGGAAATGCAAAATCTCGATGCCTGATGAAGGCAAGGATGGCTATTTGGAGCTGGTCAGTGTGTGTGTTCACATATCCTTTTTCATACAGTGACTTTATCAGGATTTGGGTAGAATTTGCACTGCTTTAGAGGTCATATAATCCAAGCCTCTTCTAATCAGAACAACAATCTGAAGTTTGGATGTGATAGAAATTGCACCATGCCACTACTAGACTTTATTTTAACATTCTGTAATCAGGCATATTAAACCAATAGAATCATGACTTGGTGAAATCCAGGAGTTACTGTCTAAAGTCATCCCAAAGCTATGCCTTCTAGGTAAGAATGAAACACTCCATACCATGTACATAGTCACATGATTAATTTTAGCATTGTAGGCAGTACAGTTATAAAATTACATAATGATAATCAGCAAGATTATTTAATAGCACTACTAAAAGGAAAATTAATTTTAATGTCTAAAGCATAATATTTTGCATATAGTAGTTTTAACCAAGATAAAAAATAAATATTTTAAAACAATACCCAACTGATCTTAAAGATTAACTATGAAAATATTTAGTTTGTTTTAAATATACAGTAAAATTTCAAAGTTAGAGAATTGAGCCTCAAGTGATTTAAGAAAAACTCAACTTTCTTGAATCCATTGATGTGTCTCAATTTTGTTTTTTAAGGCAACTGAGTTAATTGTACAAATCTGAAAATAACAAAAATCAGAAACATCAAGTATTTTTGCAAGTTAGAGTTGTATCTTTTCTTGTGTAATTTTTTTCATACACTTATTATATGTTATTTTTCATATAATTTGATAATATTAGTGGTCACATGTAGCTATTTTATTACCTATAAGTACTTTGTGTTTTTCCTCATACTTTCTTTTTTTTTTTTTTTTTTTTTTTTTTTTGTGGAACCAGGGATTGAACTCAGGTCCCTGAGCTTGCCAGGCAAGCGCTTATTCCACTGAGCCATCTCCCCGGCCCCTCCTCATACTTTCTAATATTTTAAACAAATATGAAAAATCATTAGTTAAGTCAGACTTAAGGACATTTTATTTCCATTGTCTACTTTTTTGGTAAACCCAATCAAAAGTGGGTTAAGTATAATTTTCAAATAACATTTTGAAGCTCACAAGGCTAATAACATAATTATGCTTTAGTTCAAAGTGAAGCCTTTCTAATCACCTGTAGCCTTCAATAGCCTGAGAAGACTTGTGTTCTTGGGTCATGAGTTAAAGAACTCTTTGTCTTACCGCACCGTTGACCCTCAGGCTCTTCCACCACAGCCACCAGTGTCTCTGTTCCTACCACACTCAGGGCCTGGAGTGGGTGCTTCCTTCTAGGCAGAGGCAAAGCTCCTTACTAAGGGGCAATATTGGTATCTTGTGTCAGGAACAAAGTGCCAAGAGCATTCGATGCTTGATCTCTCCCTTTTAAGCAAAGCTGCTATACTGTTTTCCAAATACAATAGAGTAAATTCTCCCCATTTTTTATTGGTATATTATGATTTCTTGTAATATGCCAATTGTATGTAGAAATCAAAATTACATCATCATAAATAAACTAGCTTATAGCTTCTCTTCTAGATGTTTAATAACTAAAGCTTGCAAACCAAAAATTAGATAGATGGGCTAAAAAGATGGCCAATATTTTGGCCCTAGCCCTTCAAGGTCAGTGAGGACTCAGGACATAAGAGAACCTCTGTTGTGACATCCTATAACTAAGTGGTGTCCCAAATTTTCTGATCAAGGAGATTATGGGGCCGCAGAGGAAAGTAATCGATGGTGTATAGTGTGCCTAAGGAGAGTCACTTAGAGAGAAAAAATTCTCTCAGGCTTTCACAGAAAGCAAACTGGTCAAGCAATGGCCATGGCTTATCCAGATGGCTGACACTAACAGAAGATCAACAAGGTGCTGTACATGGTTCCAGCATAAATCCTGATGGGATTTGACTGACCTTGTCAGAGAGCAAAAGTTACATTTTTTGTTATATAGGTCTTGCTTTAACTCGATCTTAACCATCCAGCAGAAAAGTGTAGCCACAAGATATAAAATGTAAAGCTATATTAATCCCTTTTATGCTGAGCTGTAAAAGGCTCAAGTCAACAACTTTGGAAAATTGCCAGTTGTGCTGGTAACTCACTACTATTATGGACTATTGGACTATATTGGGTTATTTTGCTGAATTCAAGTTTTGGACTGGCATCAAGTATGAAAAGATCCTTTAAAGACTTCTCCAAATATAGCTTCTCTAACAGCAATGGAACATACATCTCTGATAAAACAAAACAAAAAAAGGGGATATAAATAAAGAGCTGTTTTGTAGTGAAAAAAAATATGTATATGCAAGATAGTCAGGGTAGATATACAGCTACTTTCTCTTAATGAGAAGAAGTGTTTGTACAAATAGTGTTTAGATAAGATAACATCATGCCTACATCTTGTCCTCTGAATAGCTACTATGAAGACAACAATATGTGCAATGTATTAATTATTGTATATGCCCTACTAACCTGTTTTTGACATTATTTCATTGCTATTTTACCTTTTATTCTCATTAAAATAAATAAAAAATTTTAAAAACTAGTTTATAATTTACAAAAAAATGTAATTGTACAGGTTCTAATTCAAAAGTGAACTCAAGACAATTGAGATTATATTAAATATTCTATTAAAATATAGTATACTTATAATCATATTAAATTCATATTATAATACCACTATACTATATTAAAATATAATATATTGTGGTCCAGGGAGATAGCTCAGTGGACTAAGTGCCTGTTTAGGCAAGCTCGGGGACAAGGTTCAATCCCTGGCAGCACATGCTATGCCGGCTCCACCCCTGGGCGTGCTGAGCTGAGCTGGCCATCAAGTCTGAGAATAATGGAGCATGCTTATAATTCCAGCTCTGGGGAGGCTAAAATCAGGAGGATCACTACAAGTTCAAGCTGCATAGTGACACCTTGTACCAAATACATAAAAAAAAAGACCCAAAGCTTTCATAAGAACTTAGTCTATTGCCATTCACAGAATTTAAAGAGGCAGGTGAAGGAGGATATCTAACTGTCCAATGTAAGATTCCACAACATAGACATAATATGACAACTATAGACACAGTAGTAGAAAGAAGCATTATGGAAGTACCTATATTAAATAAAAAATGTGTAAGCATAATCTCACTTAGTCCTCTAAATCTTTTAAAAGGCAGTTAAACCACCCTTAAATACAAATAAAAGAAAGTCAGACACCTGCATCTCCAGGATTTTACAACTGAAAACTTGTGTTGAAAATATTTTCTAGGTAATGAAAATGATTGAAACCATCATTTAATGTATATCCCATTGGTCCTCTGTACTCTTCCAAAGATAATTTTAAGATTGCAAATAAATCCCCATGAAATGGCTATCCTACACGTGTCCCATACTTTATTCTTTTTCTTCCCTCTGAATACCTACACAATTATAAAACTCTGAGCCACTGTCATTGGTAAGGAAGCTCTTTCAAGAAATACCTCTCCTTATCTTGAAGTATTTCCAGTTAAAGAAAGATCTCAGTATCACATGATTTTTAGGCCAGCAACCTCATGATCATTTTGGGGTTGTCCCCAAGGTGCATACCTTTAAGTTTATTGTGCTCAGAGTCCGCTGGGAACAGGGAGTCTGGGAAGAGCTTGGGGAAGGTGAGTCCAGCATATTTGGGTCGATTCTCCACATAGTTTCGTACTGTAGGCTGCAATTTCTTCATAAATTCTGGACACGGTGTTCCTAGTTGTTCAATTACTTTATTCCATTGGTCAATATCTGAGAATTGAATAGTTAAGGCAAAAAAAAGAAGTGCAGGCCACAAGCTCTTCTCTTTCAATAATAAGGAAGCTAATTCTTCTCAGAATCCCAAATCATTATTCATACAGCTGGAATTTAGTGAGTAACATAGAAAAATCAAATCAGAATTGTTAGACAATGAACCCTGTTGGAATTTTAAATTCAGTTTTGTAACAAACACACTTTTGCAGAATTAGAATTACTTAACAAAAACACAGGATTGTAAAATAGGCTTCAACTTAAAGATAAAAGCTATCCAAATAACACAAGAGGAAGCATACTGAACTAACTTTCTATAAAATTATAAGAATTTTTGAAAAGACATTTCATAGTTAGGTTTTTATCTTGAAGTTACCGCAGTCATTTTATCTTAAAATATCATGTACACAAATATGCTAAATATTTATTTATGTTTTTCCTAAATTTCCTTTAAGATTTTTTCCTTTTGAAAAATTAGGAAATTTCACCATTAATTAATATTTTCTGGTTATACTCATTACATACAGAATCAATACCACTTTCATTTATTTTTATTTTTCTCTATTCAAAAGTAAAAACTGCATATATTTACTGGGAACTATTCAGTGTTTTGTTGCACATATATGTTATGTAATGTTCAAAGCAAGGTAAGCATCTGTACTTCTGGTGAAAGAGTGCTTCTTTTCTCTTAGCTTTTCTGAAATGTTCAGATACTATTATTGTCTGTAATCAAGTTACAGTCATTCTCTAGGCATTAAAGCCCCCAAGTTTATTTTCCCTAACTATAACTTGGTGCGGCCCGTGAGCCAGTAGCCATCTTTCCTTCCCACTCGCTTCCGAGGATCAGTGATCGCTCATCTCTATTTGATAGCTCATAGTCTTGTATAGAAGCAGTGCCACCTTCAAACCTGAGGAACCCGCTGAAAGCGGAGCATTTCAAATGGTTGCCTCACCACCCATCAGCGAAGAACACAGGTCTTGGAAATTTGTCCTGAGTTCAGCTTGTATCATTTATTCTTCTACAATTCTATTCTTTCTACTAAAAGAATATATGACAGTTTAGAAGCTGTAACCATAATACTAAGTAGTGGATGTTTTTAAAGTCTTTACTCCTAGCTTTCAAGAAAGTTAAACTAAAAAAGATTGGCAGTCCCAGTAAAAGACAAAATGGCTACATTTAACCTCAGTAAGTATAAAGTGCAAACATTGGATGGGAGACTGAACAAAGATAAAATGAAGTTAATCTTTAAATCATTTCTTAACCTTCCTTAAAGTTTGACTGAACAAAATATAAATTATTACATACACTCCTAGTTCTTGCAATGAAAAAACATACATGTATAATAACGAATTATCAAAAAATGACACGCAAGTAGGAAAAATTGAAGAATGTTCTCTTATAAGACAGCAGCAATAATTAAAAAAGAACATGTTTCATTAAAAACTTATTGAAGTTACATTCATGAGAATATAAGAGTAAGTTGGAATCAATAAAAACAGAGAAAATTAAAATATATAGGGTTAGAGTTGCAAGTTACTCTTCTTTTAATTTTACTTATTTTTTTTGTGGTGGGGGGGGAACCAGGGATTGAACTCAGGCTCATTGCGCTTGCCAGGGAAGCGCTTATTCTACTGAGCCATCCCCCTGGCCCCACAAGTTACTCTTTAAAAACTCAGATAAAGTCTATTATTGGGCCAGGGAGATAGCTCAGTAGAATAAGCGCTTCCCTGACAAGCGGAAGGGTCTGAGTTCAATCCCTGGTTCCACCAAAAAACAAAATAAAACAAAATGTTCAAAGTTTATTATTATAGGTAACCTATAACTGTTTAAATATATTTAAATAGCATTTAAATAGGTAAACATTTGTCATATTAGGATTCAAATGCTTATTTTTGTATATTATGAAAAGAGGGCTATTCTATAAAATAGGTTACCATGACTTATGGAGCCATCATTTAATTGTTGGTCAAAATTGCTCAGAACTAGAAAAATTTGATATCAAATTTAAATTAGAGATAAAAAGACTGTTGGATTTGCTATAAATCAGTCATTTTTGAACATTTGGTAAAATGCTTCCAGCACATGACTATATTCTAGCTACATTTAGCTAGAATTATGAAGTTGTTCAGTAAAGATTAAAATAGCATTGCCAAAATAATTCTGTATCATTTTAGGGTAAAATTTGAAGAGAGTCAAGTGTTTTGGAAATTTTTAGAATAATAACAATTTATAGGTCATAAACAGAGTCTATAGACACATAGTAGGTTTTCCTACTTAGAAGCAGCTATTGCGGGCCTTAATACAATAGTTTATGAACAAAGGGATGCAAGAATCTATTATTATTATCATCAGTGAAATAACTAAATTTTCCTTAAATCTATGCCTTCATTCTAACCCACTCATTTTGTGTTCTTTCTTTCCATAAACATGCATGTATTTGAGTGTCACAGTTCAGGCTCACGGAGTGAACAACTATGCCCAACTTGGTTGAGTACACAGTTTTGCTTACTCTTTGCTTACATAAGGAAGTGCAGACTAGAGGTCTTATCTCCCGGTTGCAAGTTCGGTGCTTGTTCTGAGTATCTATTAAAGAAAGAGCAAGTCTGAAACTGAGGTAACATGACAACTGTCTTACTGTAGCCATACAATTGACGGTGCGCTTTGCACCAAGCAATTCTTTGAAGCTCATTTCTGCATGTACTTCCCTAGTCTTTCAGGTCAATATATTTACACCAAACAATTAATGTTATTCATAATTTAAGTGGAAGAGAAGGTGAAATAGTTTCAGAGAAAAAATATTAGATTTTCATGACTTTTTAATATACATGAAATCTCAACCAGATTTTATGATTGTGCAATAAATGGTAAGATTAGATACATATATTAAAAAGAAAAGTCAAGCTTAGCTTTGGAAAAGCATTTATCTACTTAATCCTCATATATTAAGATATGTTAAGGACTGGCCTGAGCAGTTGGCAGAACAAGCAGTAAATGTGTGGGTTATAGTGTTTTGAACTTGCTATTTCAGAAAATATTGTTCTTAGCATAAATTATAAAAGGCACTGCATAAAATGAGAAAATGATATCCAATAAGAATTGACAGTAAATTTCCTCACTACATAAATTCACTACATGAAATATAGTTATGTTTCAAAAATTTGATTTTATGAGTATGACGACAAGACAATTTTTAAATATGGTTGGTTATTACTACGATCTACTACAAAGATCATTATATTTAGAGATAAAAACATATGGGAATAGTGAAAATTAGTGTGGAAAATTCCAAGATTGAAAATTAGTCCAGTTAATATCAACTAAGAACTTACATTTCAACCACTTCTCTTGCCTTAGCTTCCCTGGCTGGTTTGAACATAGTGCATAAAAACATCTCATCGTGCTTTGGGCATGTTCTTTGTAATTATAAATATAATTTACTCTACGGACAGTTAAGCTTTCAGGTGCTACCAGAGAGCTATTTAATGGCTTCATTCCTTGGTGCCCTTTGAAGTAATATACTTCTTTTTTACGTGTTCTCCCATCTCAGATGGCCTTTCTGTTATGGGGAGTATGATTTCCAGGCTAACACTTTCGCTCATGCCACCTGACTTGCTTTCTCCTGTTTCAAGCCCATGCTCAATCTGCGTAAAAATTTTGTGACCTCTATTTGCACTTTAAAGGATATCAGTAATTGTCTTCCCATTTGTAGCTATTCCTAAAGGTAAGATTGCCTAATAGCAATATCTATACAGAGAGTATAGAGTATAGAGAAAAGAGAAAAGGCACTTTTATCTCAGAAGTCAACCTAGGCATTGTGTTGAGCATGATTGTGTCATTATGGTAGCTCTCTAGGAAAAAACGCTATCAAAGACTACTGCCTCCAAGTGGAAATTCACTTGAAAATGGAAGCTTGTTGTCTTGTGTTAAGCATCAGGATATCAAACCACAGTCCCCAGTCCTGAATATTCATAACATAGGAAACTTACAAAAGCATAGATCTTTTTCTACTCTCTACTGATCTATAGGATGCTTCATCCATAGGTCTTCGATGATAGAAAAACACTGATGGTAACTGCAATCCGAATGGTCTTTGGAGCATGTATTGAGAAGTACTAACGTAAAATGTACTAACAGTCTCTTAGGAGTTACTAAATCAAGATATAAGAATAAAGCATGTGTTGCAGTTTTCTGACACAAATCAGAGTAAGTTCAAATTCACTAAATGATTGGACCATACCAATTTGCTTTGGAAATATGCAAGTGGGAATACTTCAAGGAAAGGAAATTATAATTCTTATTTTCTCCCCTCATGCCACTTTCCTGCAAAGACCATGGAAAATTATAGCGAGGGACACATGCAGGCTCCCAGGCAAAGAGAAATCCTGCATGTCAGCATCGAGTGAAGAACTGAGGTCCCATGTACTGCTATCACCCAGAGGAACTACCCTCAGAACATTCAGAAGCTGCCCAAGATAAAGAGAAAATATTAGTATATTTCAGTAATTATATTTCTTTTTGATAAAATTTATTCTTAAAAGA